TAAATTTAAATGTAGATATAGAGATTAGATTTGTCTAAGATTTATTTAGATTGAGTATAAGATTTATTAAACTACTTACATTAATTATGTTTCCATTTATAATTCAAATTTTTAATGTTGTCTTAAAATTGTCAAGTGACTTCTTTTTAGCTTGCCACTTGGCTTAACCACATGCTTCACTACTCTCCTTTTAATATAATACTAGTATTAGTACCCACGCAATGGACGGATAACATTAAAAATATTAATCATAGCAAATTATGATTTTACTTGTTTAAGCACATGAGATTATATTGCTTTAACAAAATTAAACTACATCTTCTAAATTGTTTCAGTATACCCAATAGATAAACTCTATTGTGATGACCCAAAGGGTCATCTTATGATTTAGAACTCGATTCCGTGTTTCGAGGTCTTCAAAACATTATTTTATTCCTCCTTGATTTGCATGCGCAGTCCGGGCGTGTATCCGAAAAGCTTTTATGTGAAAAATTGATGAAATAATAATTTTTGGCCTAAAAAGTTAATATTTGTTGACTTCGGTCAACGTTTTGGGTAAACGAACCCGGGCCCATATTTTGACGGTCCCGGTAGGTCCGTATTATAATATGGGACCTGGGCGTATGCCCGGAATCGGATTCAGAAGTCCCAAGCCCCAGTTGAAGACAAACCAATTATTTTTCAAAAAATTATTCTCATTATTCTAGAAAATAGAGTTTTATTGTTATGAAACAAAAAACTTATTGTTACCCATGAATAGCATGGGTTTAATGTGCTAATGAATATGTTTTTAATTGAAATTCAAAAACTAACGACACTTCACTCAAACATTTTATCTTTTAACTTAAATTAATAAATACTTACACTTTATTCAAAAATTAATTTATACCCAATTTTGTTATATTGCCAATTAGTATTTCCAATTAATTTGTTATATTGTCATACAATTATTCATCAAACCTTGTCAAAAAACTTCAGGCCAAAGGGAATTATTATTAGTATTTTATCCTGATTTTTTATATATATTTGAATTTTACCTTTTACTTGAAGAAAGAATAAAATATTTACCAAAAAATCATATAATTATTGAATTACTTTACGTTCATTATTTTTATATGATATTATACACTCTTATTATTAAATTGTTAATAACTTTTTATTACTTTGTCACTTGGATTAACATTCCGTTCACTGCTCTCCTTCTAATATAATATAGGTATATATTTTCTTACTCCGAAATTACTTATTATTTTAAAATTTTTATTTTACTATTCACAATTCTATAATTTTTTTGTCTATAGTCAAGTATAAATATCCACATATTATTTCTATTTCCTGTTTGTACATATTTTTGTACACGATATTTTAATTGGTTTTTCCTATTTAATAATCTACCTTTAATCAAAGTAAGGTCATTTTTAAAGCTAAGATTTGATTTTTACTTCGTTCAAAGTATAAACAACAGTGTCATATTGATTTTTTTATTATTTTTATTTGTGTGTGTTTTTGTTAGGCAAAACATCTACAGCAATTAGTAACAAAATCGCATGCTTGACCAAAAAATTTTGAAAAAATAAAAAGTTAAAATATTCACTAATTCATTACATTTTTCTTTATTGATTCTTTTCTTTTCATGTTTTATTAAAATGAGAAAAACATTAGATCAATTAGTAACAAAACCTTACTATACATTTAACGTTAGATTACATTTGATTGGCATGATTTATTGTTGATTGATGAAATGCACCATTTATGGGTATGGAATATAGGTATTAATTGAAAAAATTTATTGATATTCTTATTAGATTTTATCCTGATTCCTATTAGATTTTGTTCAAAATATGTTTTAAAAGTGCCAAATGGCATTTTCCCGATACACCACTTGGCTTAATCACATGTTTCACTATCCTCCTTTTAATATAATATAGATAGATTGTAAAGGGTGAGTCTATTATCCATCGTGTTTTGAACCTTGCGAAAAGAGGAAATTGCGAAAATTTGCCGACCAATTCAGTCGCAAATCTCTTATATTCAAGCGCGTCCTTATTTTTCAATTTGCGACCAAATCCGTCGGAAATTTCCGACCGGTTTGGTCGCAAATTATTCGCGACCATGTATTTTCCGACCGAACTTTTTTGGCCGGTAATCCGTCGGAAAAGCTCGATTTCCGACCGATTTGACGGTCGAAATTTGTCCTTTTCTAGTAGTGTTTCAGTGAAAATGGTAATGGGGTGAGCCTATTATCCATCATGGTTTGAACATTGCGATGTTTGTCTCGTGGATTTCTTAGTTAAAAAAGATGAGACGCAAAAGAACTTGCTTTCTGGTGTGTATATCACTCACATGTGACAAAAAGGAAAAATTAATCTAGAGAATTTGAGTTAAAATTAGAAAGTAAAATTGTGAGAAACATAAAGAAAGATAGAGGAAGAAAAATAGAATTGACTATGTCTTAATAGCTGGATAAAAATCCAAATCCATTTTAAACGAGACAAACATAAAAGGAGGAAAGACCGCTCAATAAATGAAATTGCCGGAAGATTTTCCTTTAAACTGTTTGAAAGTTATCCAACTTGAGTTATGAGAGTACGAATGATTTCTTTTTCATTTTCAGGAAGAAAGAAGAAAAAAAAGACTTACATCTTTAATTCATTTGATCATTTTATGGACCCAGTTGTCATTTCTTAGATAGAATTCCATACAGAGACAAAACCGCATTATTTAATTTAGTGAGAGAAAAATTTATCCTATTAACTCACTCAATCCTACCTCTACCAAATATAAAAATTATTAAAATTTTAAAATCTTTTATTAAATATTACATAAATATAAATTATAAAGTATATATATTATATTAATATAGTAGTGCTTCATATTTTTGAGGCCTTAAATATTGAAAGAATTACGTCCAATATCACTTGGCCCAACAGCCTAACTGAAAATGGTCCAGGTTTGAAGTCCTTACAATGTTTGGTCTGGATTGTACATAACCTAAAAGAATCTTTTCATCATTTAGCCCATTATTAGATACTCAGTTCCTCCACAGTCCATAACACACATAAGCTTCTTAATATCTCTCTTTTATGTGTATTCTGCCTTATCATATAAGCGCACTTCAACTCCAACAGTGAAGCTGATCTTTGAACAAGATCTGAAGTTGTTCAGTTACAAATTTGCCTCATCCTTGCTACTAGGTTTAGTATTCTCTTCGTTCAAGTGTATATAATCATAAAACCTCCATTATTGGAGCTCAAGTTTCTCAAATTTAAAATTTGATTGATTAAAAAAAACTCCATTGAAGGCTGAAGCTTTAAGTTTGAACCATATCCGAGATTTTGGGTTTGAAAGCACACTTAGATCTAAGATTTGAGATTAATTTTGAAATGGGTGTTATTGGGTTTGCTTGAAAACATGATTGGGTGTTGTTATAATTGATTGGAAACATCAAGAGGAGTTCAAAGCTTAAATTTGAAGTGATTTAGAGCAGATTTGAATTAGATTTAAGTCAAATTTCAGTAAAGGCTCAAGAAAGAAGAAGAAAATATGTGAAGCTCCACTGATAGGATTCAATTGTATAACAATGTATAATATTGTATAACAGTGTATATGGGTATGTAGACATCTCTTGTACACTATTATACCAAGTCGATAAATATGTATAAGTGTGTATAATTTTGTATAATTATGTATGTACCAGTGTATAAGAATGTAGAAAGGCGAAATTAAATTTTTGCATGTTTTCTTACCTTTTCTCGAGCTGGACAACCTCCTTTGTTTGTTTTTAACTTATTCTCTGTTTTGGGTTAAACTCTATTAGTGGCACCATTGAAAGGAAAAAAAATAAAAAATTCTCTGTTCTCTGTTTTGGGTTAACTTATTCTTTGTTCTTCTACTTTTATGTTCATATACTATATATTTTATAACTATTTAATTGAAATCCAACAAATTCTCTGCCTCTGATAAAAGGGGAAAAAATTACCAATTCTTTTTTTTCTTACTCTTTTTATATTTAAATATATTTTTATTAATTGTCTCATAAAGTTAATAGTAAAACACTGATTTTGGTAGAAGATAAATACAGAAGTTCTCCTCAACAATAGGAATGTTGAATAGCATTGACCGCAAGAACTGCTGGTTGTGTCAAAAAATGCTGGATTTTTCAGATATGGGCCTATTGTCTTTGGGCTATAGATTTGCAAAGTTATAACTGGGCTACTCAGTTGCAATGTGTGTGTATGAGTTGTACTTATGTGCAATTCTCGTTAAAATATCATGGTATAGCCAGTTTTCACACTGGTCAATGAAAAATAGCCAGCGTTTATCAAGTCAATGAAAAATAGCCACTATTTTGCTGCAACAGGGACCGGTCCAGTATAATATACGGGAGTTCTGGTGCATTTGTGTACGAACTCCAGCATATTATGCTGGACCGGTATACTTTGCTAACTCCTGTAAAATTTGCGGGAGACTGGAGCACCAGTGCTCCAAACTCCAGTATATTATACTGGACAATTATACTTGCTGGAACTCCCGTAAAATTTGCGGGAGTTCCAGCATAATTATGGTTGAACTCCCGTAAAATTTGCGGGAGTTCCAGCATAGTTATCCTGGAACTCCCGTAAAATTTACGGAAGTTCAAGCATACTTATGCTGGAACTCCCGTAAAATTTGCGGGCGTATTTTTCCGGATTTTGAACAGTGTTTTCGCTCAGATTTAAAGTGGCTAAATTTCGATAACTTTTGAAACTTGACTATTTTTCAACGACCAGTGATAAATCTGATTATTTTTGAATTTCTCCCCCAATTCTCTCTTAAATATTTGGAGGCTTTACCTAGAGCCGCCCTTACTGATGCCAACATGCGCCCCACGATTCTCCATTTTTTTCTGCTGATATGATGGCACACTCCACCACGAAATTACACCCCATAACTAACTTCAGCAAAAACTCCTCCTTTTTAAGTAATCAAACTACTCAGATTCTCATCTCCATTATATTATCCCATTATTATAAAGAGCTCCCTTCTTTCAAATCCAAAAATTCCTTCTCTTTTCATGGATTCCTCTAAAGCTTTTCTGTACTTAGTCTTCTTACTCTTTTCACTTCATTTCTTTACGGCTCTTGCCACTGAATTTGCTGTTGGTGGTGACAAAGGATGGGCTGTTCCTAAAGTAAAAGATGATCAAGTGTATGACCGGTGGGCTGGAAAAAATAGGTTTAAGATTGGCGATACCTTGAGTAAGTACTCTTCTTTACCTTAAGCATTATCCATTAGAGTATCTTTTCACGTTCAAGACATCCAAAATATAATTTTGCTATCATAATTAACATACTATTATAGACTTATGCTTCTTCTAAACATTGTTCAACTATATGTATCAAAAGCACACCCAAATTATAAACAGGACACTATAAATAAGTTCTACTTTATCAATGCATGCAGTATAACCGACTATAGCATGTACTCACTAATAACGTAGTATGAGTTCTGTTATAGCAACCTCGTTTGTTCCGATATTTTTTGATTGTTAGAGTGAAGTGTTGTTATGGAGTGCATATATTATAACATAATACGAAGAATGGTTCCAAAGAAAACTTGGCCCTTATAAGGAAGTGTTGTTATAAAGGATGGCTGTTATAGAGAGCAGTGGCGGAGGCAGGTTATAGGATGGGGTGTTGCGGGAAAAATACACTACCTAAAAAAAATTATATGTATATATACTATGTATTGACTCCCATAATTTCCTAGTATGTTCAATTTTATGTATTTTGACACTCCTTAACGAAAATTCTGGTTTCACCAATGATAGAGAGGTCTAACTATAGTAGTATATATAAAAATTCTTTATACCGTCAATGCATATACAATCAGACCTCTCTATAATTGTATCGCTATATAACAATCATTCACTATAAAAGCCAAGTTTTTTATAGAACCAATTTTTATACTATGTTATAATATATCTTCTCTGTAACAATACTTCACTATACCAGCCAAAAAAATTCGGAACAAACGAGGTTGTTATAGAGAGGTTTGATTGTAACATAATCTCACCTACTACTACTACTCTCCGTTCAATTTGCATGATCTTTACAGTTATTTGACCCATAATGTGTATGTGGTGTACGTAGGTTTTGGGTATAAGAAAGATTCAGTTCTGGTGGTGACTAAAGAAGAGTACGAGAAATGCAAGTCGAGTCATCCAATTTTCTTCTCCAACAATGGAAAAACCATCTATAAATTAGAGCAACCAGGGTTGTACTACTTCATCAGTGGAGTATCAGGACATTGCGAGAGGGGTTTGAAAATGATAATCAAAGTTTTAGAATCAGAATCCCCTCCTCAATCTGCTAACCAGACTTCCCCAACTAGTAATGGTGCTAGTGCAGCTGCTACTCCAACTGCATTAATGGGGTTTGTTGTGTCATTATTTGGAGCTCTTATTTATTAATTAGTTTATGAATTTTGAATATTTTGTGTTTTTCACGTTAGGTACTTGGAGTTGAAACTAGGTTTCTACTTTCTACTAGTTTGATTATGAACTCATGGAATTTGTTTTTTAGGTTTCAATATTGAAATAATTTATTTTACTAGATTGGAAATCACGGTTTTGTTGGTCACGTATTGCTTCTGTAGTTTACGTGATATGTGTTTTTCTATTTTTTAATTAAGCTTCATTGACACGAGTTCAATCGATTATACTCCCCACACGTCACTGCATAGTCAGTGGAATTGATTAACCTAAAAAATAAGATAGCAGGTTAAATTTCACTCATTTTGCAAATATTCATTTCCAATGCCGTGTAATGTGGATTTAATATTTGTAACTTAGCGATCTCAACCATTCATAAGCTGAAAGAAACCTGAAATTTCATTAGAAGAATAGAAAACAAGCCTATAAAAAAGGGATTGTTCCACAAATAGACTGTCAGATTCATAATTTACTTTTTCTAGCCTATACATAGGTTATACATATATTATATATTTGCCGGTTATTTATAATTTAAGAGATTAGGTGAACGACTATTTGGGTCAATTCTTGTATAAAAAAAGTTTCAGGTCCCATACGTTCCTACTTCTAACGGATGAATAATTATTCCGATGGCATGTCTTGATAAGTATGAGAGGTTCAAAATTCCGTATAAAATCAAAAGTTCTATAGCGATACTTTCTGCGACTCCTCAGGAATCAGGAAAAGCAGAGCATTACAAGTCTCCAACCAAAACCTTAGAAATCTAGACTTGTTGTATGACCTAAGTTGTGCGAGAACTAGGGTTGTACATGGATCGGATTGGTTCGATTTTTATCAAAATCAAATCAAACCAACTATATCGGATTGAATTAGTTCGATTTTGGCGGGTTTTTAGGAGTTTTTTGTTACTCAAATATTATTTCAATCTTACTTTGTTAAATTTTTTTATAGGTAAATATATGTTTAATGAAAATTTAAAAAATTAATAAACATATTATCTATTAAATATTCTTATGGGAGAATCTACTTAGTAATTAAACACATGATAGTTAATTTTTTTTTTACAGAATCTACAGAAATGCGTCAATCTCTTTGTTCTTCCATATTCATATGTCAAGATCTATTAAATTCTTATATCTTTTAGTCGTCTGACAATAATTTTTCGTTGATGTACACTTTCAAGGTTAATTGAATTTAGTAATTAAACATAAAAACCAATACGATACCTAAATAATTTATAACCACTTCAAAATAGAAAAAGGTATAAAAATTTAATAGATTTTGACATATGAATATGGAAGAACAAAGATATTGACGCATTAGTAACACTTGATAAGAAAATGATCACACAACCCGTTATTTAAGATTAATAAATATGGAGCACTTCATATTTTATTAAATATAATATTCCGTAAGAGAATCCCAAATATTTCTAGACATCTTTTTAAAGAAAATTCTATATAAAAATTCTTTATTTATATATCGGTTTGGTTCGAATTTTTTTATTCAATACCAAACCTAGTCGGGTTTTTTAATCGATTTGGTTTGGCTTTTCGGTTTGGTGCGATTTTTCGATTCGGTTTGTACGCCTCCAGCGAGAACTATTGATGTCTAGATTTATCATGAGTAGTGGTGGCAAAATGGTTAAAAAAATAGTTAACCGCCCATATTATCCACTAGAAAATGGGCTGGATAATGAACTTTTTAAAAATGGGTCAAATATGGATAAGAACCATATTATCCATTTAGAAAATGGATAACCAATGGATAACTAATGGGTATAACTTTTACATTTGTAAAGTCTCAAATTGGGGGTTCCTCAAGTTTGGGAGACTAGGAATTCTCCCAAAAGTGATCATATTTAAGAAGTCATGAATAATATGGTTACCCATATTATCCGCCGGTTAACCCTTTTTTATCCGTATTAAATATGGGTTGCGTCGGACAATTTATCCATTTTTTCATTACCCGTTTTTGACCCGGACCATATCTGCCACGCCCTGCCCGTTTGCCACTCCTAATCATGAGCAATTATACTCCTTTATACTATTCCAATAAAAAAAAAAACTTGTTGCTAGCCTGTTGGTGTCTTGTTTTAGTATGCTTGTGGTACATGTTGTGTTCATACTATTTTTTCGCTCTGGTTTCCTAGAACCTTGCCATTCTACTGATATTATTGATATTGCTTTTTTCATTTATTTTTCTGATTTTAGGTCATCGGTACTATCTTTTTGGTGCTGCTGTTGTTACTATTTTATTGTCTCTTTTCATCTTCTTGTGCCGAGGGTCTATCAGAAACAACTTTTCTAGTCTTTATTCTCAGAGGTAGGGATAAGGTCTGCATACACACTACCCTTCCCAGACCTCAATTGTGGGATTATACTGGGTTGTTATTATTGTTAGGGTTCAAAGTTGACCCAACAAGGAGCTATACCTATATTTGACTTTCTCTATGGTTCTTCTCCTTCTAAAGAAAGGATTACTATGTCATATTTTTCTTATCCATATGTATTTAATATTATTCCAAACCAGCTGCTAGGACCTCCTTGAACATTTCCTTTTTATGTACTCCATTTTTCTTTCTTTCCTTCTTTGGTTTTAGGTCAAGGAGACTTGGCATAATTATACTCCCTCCATTTATTTTTAGTTGTCCACTTTTAATTTTTTACTCCCTTTAAACAAAAAATGAAATATTGTATGATTTTACCCATAATGATGATAGTATTTTCAAAAATCTTGGGAAATGATTTGGGGAATGAGTAGTTAATGATAAGGATAAAACGGGTAAAAAAAAGATTGTTTTTATCTTAATTTAGTATTTGGACAAGTAAAAGTGAAAATGTATTTTTAGTATAGTGGACGAGTAAAAGTGAACGGAGAATATATGTAATTGCAATTGGGTGGGGTCTTAGATTCTTAAAAGAAGAAGTGTGTAAATAATAGTACTCCCTCCGTTCACTTTTTACTTGGCATGTATATTAAAAATAGATTTTTACTTTTACTTGTCACTTTACGCATATTAAGAAAAATAAAAAAAATTCTATTATACCCACAATATTTATTACTCATTTCAGATCATTTTCTCAAATCCAATAAAATATGCATCAATTAATATGGGTATCATGGTAAATTATGCACTTCATTTATTATTTCTTAAGGGGCGTGAAAAGTTAAAACGTGCCTAGTAAAAGTGAACGGAGGGAGTATATTATTAGATGGCACATTGTATACGGTCGAAATCAGGCATGCCCGATTTCACGGGCTCGAAGAGTCTCTTCAAGCCCGAGTTCAGTATGGGTCGAGTTCGAGGCCGATGGACCAAGCCCGATCCCGATGATAGAATACAAGGCTCGAAGATCGGTGTACGCGGCGAGCACCGAAGTCGAGTATGACCAACCCCGAGATGATGTCTTTATGGGTTTGTTACAGAAGAGCAAGATTCTCGCCACGTCTCCAAGATCATGGCGTAAATTCCGAAATTGATTTGCACGAGTTAGTACGAATACGTACTAGGCGGTTAGACAGCAGTCTCAATAAGATTCTTTACTGTAAATAGAAATGTACCTTTTTTAGGGTTCCCCTACTATATAAAGGGGACCCCAATCATTTGTAACGACAATCAGTCATTGGCAAAAGAATATACTCTCTTGCTTTCTTGCTCATTATTCATTAGAATTGTCTCTTAACATTATTGTCTTTACTTTATTGTTCTTGCTGACCTACCTCGAGGCAGTCTAGCTCGAGGTCAAAACTTGCTTAAGCACTGGTTTGATTCAACTTTCTTCTTTAATTTATACATCTGATTTCTTGGTTATTAATTAGTATTGAACTAAATCATGTATCTTTAAAATCACAAACAAGTTTAATTGTTACTCATATTTTTGAGGTAAACAGTTTGGCGCCCACCGTGGGGCTAAAGATAATAGTGATTATTTCAGTACTGATTATGATAACACACGTTATTTTCACACTTGTTCTTGTCAAGAATTTTTGTTCTCAGGTTAAAGGCGTAATGGCTTCCTGGCCACTTAAACTTGTATCGATTTGTAAAGCCGATACATGAACTTATATTTTTTCCATTTGAACACTTCAACTTGACGGAATGAATACTAATAAACACATTTGACCATTGACCAAGCCTATGTAGAATTGGCACAGCTGACATGGCTAAATTATGTGCAAATCACGCTGCCAAGGCGCGTGAATAGTTTTTTTAATTAAAAAATATTAGAAATAGAATAAAATATAAATAAGAAAGAAAAAAGAAAATGAAAAAAAGACCTTTCTCTTTCCCCCTTCTTTTTTCCCCTCCCCTCCCACATCTTTCGTCTTCCCAAGCGAACTCCCCGATCCCGTATTTTTTTTTATTTTCTATCATTCATGTAAAGTATTGCACAAGGGCTGAAAGCATTGCACATTTGACCAATCATTCACGTGAAGTATGCAAAATCCTCCTTTACCTATTTCCCTGTTCTTTTAATGGTTTTATTCTCTTGGGGGTAAATGTTGCTTTCCACATTTTAGCGGGACCCCCATTTGATGGTGAAACCCTGGGTGTTGTTGCTACCGGAGAAACCACCTCTTCGGTTACAGCAGCAACCGGAGTAGTCGTTTCTTGACTGGAACTCGAAGTGGATGTCGGAATTTTCGCCTTTGCAAGTGAAATTTCATCTTCAGATTCAGCAGAAGAGCAATGGTGGAGCCCACAGGAGCGGACCCACCTTTAGGAACAATAATAGTAGCTAAATAACCATCGTAAAAAGATTCAACATCCATGTCAGCTTTATCTGATTCAACAACAAGAACTGCTTCGCCTTTAGCAAGTTTATCACCTTCAGTTTTGACCCAATTGACAATCTTGCCTTCAGTCATAGTAGAACTGAGTGCATGACACGGATCTTGGATTCTATTACATGGGTTTTGCGTAAATGGGTGGCTGGGAAGATGGAAGCACGGCGGAGGGTGATTGGGGTGGTGGGGATGAATGTGGAGAAAAAAGAGAAAGAAAAAGAAATTAAAAGTTTTATAGATTAAATTTTTTTCTAATAATATAGGACCCACAAATACACGTCATATAATAAAGACCAAATATGTGACATGGCTTTCATGTCAGAGCGATTGGCGAACACG